AACATCTACATTAAACACGCGAACGACTATCACAAGCATGACGGTAGAACGCGCTCTCGTCAGTGAATACGACAGGGCAACATTCGGTTTCACAACGGAGCCCGAAACACCACGGGAAGACATGCTCGAGGGTGTTCTGGTATAAGTAGAAATATGAATTGCATATATCGCAGATCAATATGCCTGAAGATTGCATTGAAGCACTAATAAATTTATTTTTAAACCAATATTTTTATTATTTTAACTTTCTTTACATACGCTCTATCTCTGATATTGAGCATATTCACTCATAAATACACCATACCTTACAATTATAGTTTTTCTATATATATATATATATATATATATATATATATATATATATATATATATATAATTTAAAGAAAAACAGATCACTTTTAAGGCTTTATTTGTTATAATTTATTTCACCAGAGAATTTTATTCTTCTCTGGATCTTCAGACCTCACTTTCAAAAGGTGAAACGAAATATGAATTTAAAATTTACACTTTTGTCGGGCAGTATTAAGCTTCTATAAGTTGACATAGAGGGTGGTGAGGAATAGTGTGAGAGATATGGTCGAGTTTAGAAAGGGAAGGGAGAGTTTTAAAATTTATTTTTATTTTTATTATAATACTTAATATTGAGGAAGGAGGGAGTAAGGATCAGACATTGACCTATTTAATCGGTCAACTCAACGGAAATGATATGGGAAAAAGGAAAAAAGGGGAAAAGGAAAAAAAGTGGGAAGTAAAGGGATTGGAGATAAGAGATTACGTAGGGTTTCTGGAGGGAGGAGAGGGGTGGCATAGCTTTAGCAATTTAGATACCGTGTGTAACAGCAAAATTGTCTAATTGTTAGATTAAGCTCTGAACTGTTGTATCTTAGAAATGATTAAAAATATCTTACTGGAATTCTCCGAGGTTTTTATAACACTGTTAGACTCACTTTGAGCAATAAGAATGTATAATTACTCTATAAGCTTAACAGAAGAATCGTGATGAAATCGATAATAAGAGAAAATTACAAGTTCATCATTAACTAATCATAGCTAAGGATCAGAAGCTCATGAAAGATTGAAATAACGTTTATATATATATATATATATATATATATATATATATATATATATTATTCCATGATCATTTTCCAACTTATTCAAGATGATCTTCGCCCTCTCTAACCTTCTAACTTTCTATCTTGTAGTAACAAGATGGCTCACAAGTTTCACGTATAATTTCATTTTCAGGGCTTTTTTCACTGCTCTTCGGACTGTTATGGCTGAAGCTCCTCACTCACCTGCCAAAAGTCTTATGAATTGAGTTGGATCTTTTCTAATTGATCCCTTTAACTCTAAGTTCAAATGATGATCCCTCTTCCTGTTGTGACCTCCTGATCCAGTTTTCCTCTCTACTGTTCCCTCTTTTAAAAAAAAAAAAAAAAAAAAAAAAAAAAAAAAACTTATTCACCGTTCTCTTGGTGGTTCTAGAATGGACTTTGAGCATGGAAGCCAGAGTATGAATGTTGGTACCATTATTGAAGACATGAGTGATCTTTTTCCTCACACCATTGTTCAGCTGGGGAGAGAGTGGGGCTAACACAAAACAATTTTAACGTGTTCCCTTTCTAGCTGAAAAAAAGATTTTTCAGTGATTCTTACGACAAATTATGTCAAGATGACTAAACGTTTTATCTGAAAACTTGGAAAAAAGAAACGGTTTTGAATTCAGAGTTGCCCTTCTCCTAGACGAGTTGCCATCCAAAGCTAAAGAACCCAGCCTGTCCTGCAATTTACCCATATATATATATATATAAAGATACGAATATTTATATATAAATTAACTATATATATATATATATATATATATATATATATATATATATTTAAAGATATTTTGTAGGTACAAAATTTAATGATCGAAATAAAAGTATAAAACTTAACGCAGGGTTTCCCTTTATTAACGGAGACATATAAAACAGAAAAATGTACAATAAAAAGGAAGTTTGGGAGGAGAAAAAAAACTTTTTTTTTATTGTACATTTTTCTGTGTTAATTTTAAATTAAATCTCCTTTGAAAATTGAAGAGCAGGGGCGAAACCGGTTGCTCCGCCTGTTTTTAAATATGTCTCGTAATATTAAGTTTTATACTTTTATTTCGATCATATATATATATATATATATATGTGTGTGTGTGTGTGTGTGTGTGTGTGTGTGTGTGTGTGCGCAAACAGGTTTGGTTAAATGAATAATTTAGACATATTATGTCTATTTATTTTGATTTCGATCCTTTCAAGTCCAGGGAATAATTTCTTGTTCACTGTGGAAAATTGATAAAAAAAAAAAATAGAAAAATTTACTTTCAAATAATTTTTAATTTCACTCTCATCGGAGATCATCTTCAGGGGGTTAAATTGTGGGGTGAATGTGTATATGTATTTCTGTAAATTCAAACCAAACCAAACCTGACTGAATAAAAATATACTGACTAAATGGACAGATA